GCTCCTCCTAAGGACCAACCTGTTACAAAAAGGAATGGTGCCAAATTCAGATCCTGGCTACATCACAGTTGTGCTGACGTGCCTCCACAAAACACAGAGCTGAATGCTTGCTGCCATGCTGCCCACCGAGCAGTGCAGCCGTACTTCCCCTGGCTTTCTGTGCACAGAACTGCAGCAGCCCAAGCTGTTGGAAAAGCCCACTGAGAACAGAACCCACAGACAATAAAGGCCCTGGGAAGCCCTTCAGTTCCCGTTAAGCTTTATTTCTCATTCTCTTTAAGAAAGCCAGATCAACTTCCACCTTCCCATGCTGAGCTCAGTCTGCTGGCCGCAGGAACTGCCCTGCTCACAGACAAGCCCCAAATTCCTCTATTTCTGCCCCAAAACCAAACATGGCCAGAGCATGTGCAAGCATGACACCACAGCAGCTTGGGAGCAGTACTCTGCCCGTTGCTTGCACGCCCTTCTTGTGCTGTGCCGTGGGAGAGGAAGCTCCAACCTAAACTGTTGTACTCTGATGAGGAAATAGAGGTGGATCTACCAAGCAGGGTGAAAAAGGGGACAGGGTCTGGCCAGCAGCACTGCCCTGTGTGACTGTAGGGAACACGATCACTGCCAGCCATACTGCCTGGTCCCCATTCAGCCTGCAGCTGGATCTCATTGCCAGCGAAAGGCTTCTGCCTTCTGACTGTTCTGTTTATTCTGCTAAAGACCATAATCATCCTGCTAATTGTTTGAGTTTGTTTGGGTTGCTTCAGTGAACTCCTATTTTGGTGAGGCCATGTGCTGTGCTCCCTCTGCTGGCAGGCTGGTTTGGGCTGCGGGAAGGCGACAGGGGAAGGGAAGGACAAATCCTGCTGCCACACCACAGCCCTTCCCACCCCTGGCTCCATCAAGTTTGAGAGCAAGACCTGAGGCTGGCCTTCGCCTGCCAGCTTTATCCCTTGTGTCCCGGTTATTCTGAGCGTTCCCAACAAGAAGAAAAAAGCTTAGACTTGAAAGCCACAGCAACACAACAAGCGTGTCTTGCTGGTGATGACTTTGAGCCACAGTTTTCAGGGGAGCACTGGCTTAACCCTCAGCATCAGCAGTTACACCTGTGACAAACTGTGAGCAAAAACACAGAAGCAGATGTAGGTTGTAGAAAAGGGCAGGAAATGTTGCCTGAAACAAAGATATGCTTCAGAAGTACCTTCCCATGCCCAGCACCAGGAGGAAATGAGCTTCAGAGCAGAATTTCAGCGGAGCTTTCTCCACCTTCTGTCTGTGGTTTTGTTTGGTTATTTCATGGGTCTGACAAACAACCATTAAACCGGCCACAATGCAGCACGGCCAGCTCACGGCCACCACAGCTGCTCAAAGCTACATGCATGGAAGCATTAGGAAACCTCCCAGAGCACTACCAGATATCTGGGGGAGAGAGCAGGACCTGGGGTCAAAATCCACCCAGGGACCCATTCAGCCTTAAGCTTACAGCACTGTGCTGCACCAGAAATGCCCCCACAGCACTCTGTTTTCCTCTGGGATTCTGTTTTCTTCGACAAGTTGAGCAAAGCCCGGTGCAAGAAAATCCCCTTCTGCTTCAGGGAACGTTTCTCACACATGGAACAGCCACAAAGACCTTGGAGCAACCTCCCCTTTCTGGAAAACACCATGAATGGGATTAAGCCCAAGGTCTTGCAGCATTTACAGTGCTACTTTCATCATCAGAGCAGCAGAGAAATCTTTTGATGGACGCAAATACCAGCCAGCAGTCATTAACCTAAAAGTAGGGGAGTTTTTCATCAGCCCTATTCAGTAGGATAGTCAGGAAATGGTGAGAACGTTCTTCACATCAGCGAAATAAAAGGCAAGACATCCCCCATATAGACACTTTCTTGCTAAAACTATTAATAAACATCACACTTCACGTCAGCCTCTGAAGGTCAAAGCAATCTTTGTCCCTGGTGGAAGCTCTTATGGAGTTTTTAAGAGCTGTGTTTTACGCCTAAATGTACTTCCTTAATGAGCGCAATTCTACATCTGCTCAGGTGAAACAGGCTGCTGTACATTTGCTTCCTTCCATGGTTTTATGACACCTCCTCGGCTGCTGATGGCCAGCCAAAAGAAATGAAAGGTGCTGGGAAATGAAAATGGAGTTCCTGAAAGCATTTGTCTTTAGAAAATAACAATAATAATAAAGGCATATGAAGCAGTCTGCCTCAGCAGCAGTTCACAGAGAAATCACTGTACATCTTTTCCTATTACAAAAAAAAAAAAAAAAGTACGTAACATAAAAAACTGAATTCAACCGTACCACGTGGAATAAAAACAAGATGACTGCAACAGCCCACAGACAGCAGGGCCTCCCAGAAAGACCTCCCAGGCCTGGAGGCAGGCAGCAAAGATGGGACGCCTAAATACAAGCCTGTCAAAAAATACAACCTGTCCAAGCAGGTGGAAAGCTCGCTTTAAAAAAAAAAAAATAGCCTAAAAAGCGTTTTGGGGGAGGACTGCGGCTCTGCCGGGAGAACCGGCATGGCGACAGGAGCAGGGCAACCCCACCGCCGCCATTTTCCCCCTGCCCCTAGCAACCGCCCCTTAGCAACACCGGGCCACGCCCCCCTGCGGCCACGCCTCCTTCGCTTTCGCCTCTCAGCCAATCACGCCCCTCAGCCGCCGTGTCGCCGTCACGTGACGGCGCTGCCCCGTCGCGCCGTAACCATGGCGACGGCGGTACACACGCGGCGACCGCATTGAGGGGTACGGAGGCCGCCCAGCCCGCCGCGCTGCCGCCCCGAGGCCCTGCGGCCTGACAAACCCTCGTGGGGCCCTGAGCTGCTGGGTTTTTTATTATTGGTTTTCTTTCTTTTAGAGATTTGTTGAGCAAGAAGGGGCTTTTTCCTATCCATAGCAATGCCACAGATTTGGATCCCTTGGATCCCTGTAGCTCTCTCCTCGTGCCCCGTTCCCGTGGCCTTGCTAGTAGTTAAGCAATGCTGGAAGAAGCTGAAGCAGATTGTGAAGGAATCCCTGCCCCCAAAACCTACGGTTCTGCTACGTAAACAGCCGTGTGTCACAGGTGGCAAAGTACAGGCTGGGGAGGAGGACGACAGAGAGCTCTCATTCTATCAATTTAATGAGTTCTTTCCTCAGCAGATCTGGACAAGGCTGAAGATGATAAGTGGCTTTTCTTAGAGATCCAATGACTGTGAATTGGTGCGGGGGAGCTTCCTTTGTTATGCAGCTGACCAGATTTTCTGCAGATCAATCTCTGAAGAGCCGAGCTGTTCTCAGAGCTGTTCCCAGCTGAAGTGAGCATGCAGATGGCAGCTGAGCTCTTCTGAAAAACCAAGGTTCATGCAGGGCCGAGCTCTGAGGCTGCAGGGCCGAGTTCTGAGGCTGCAGGGCTTCCCCCAGCAATACCCCGGGCCTCACAGGGTGATACAGCGCTCAGAGGGAACTTCAGCCTTACTTCATTTGCTACGTGTTTGTAGCGTAAGGGTGCAGTGCATTGCAGGGAGCCTTGCTCTGGATCCCTCTGTCCAGCTCAGGAAAGACTCTGTGGGAATAAACTTAGTCCTGGGAGCTGCTGGTAACTTTTGAAGTGATGTAAAACAAGAGTTTCACTTGGCTCATTTCTACCCTCCTGAATACCGATGTTGTTTTACCTTGCATCTCAAGAACACCAAGGGCTGACCTCCTCTTGAGAAAGCGGATAAGCTCTAAATCTTCATATACAACCATTCAAAGAGCTTTAGCACACACGAAGGCTGCTTCCATCAGCAAAGAGAAACCTTGAGGCTAAAAAGCCAAGCTGCAGGTGGTCCTTGTTTAGTAGGCAAGGATATATCTCTTTTTTCAGCAGAGTGAAAATTGCTTTAAACATTGCAAATTTAAAAGGTGACTATTTATTCCTACACATCTCATCCATCACATTTTCTTAGTGATGTGAAAGCACTTTCTCTCCAAGCTCTTAGGCTCCTCGCTTCACTACAACAGTTGGGAAACAAAGCCACGTCTCACACAAAAGACACAGACACCACACATCTCACGTGCCACCAAAAGCAGCTCTTCGCACCATGCAGCCCAGTGGAGTTTTTCCCCTCTTTGACTCAGATAACATCTGTCTGCTGACTGGGTGACACTCAGCAGGAAAACACATCTGAGCTTTGTAGCAGGAGTTGACAGCACTGTTGTGCTGCTGCTTCTTAAGATGCGTGAACAGACAGCTAGAGCTGTGCTGGCTCTGATTAAATAAATGCTGTGGAATCAGCCTCCTGAATTTCTGTTTGCTAGGAACAAGTCACACAGAGGTGAGAGCCTGTGTCCCGTCACAGTCTCCACTATTACATCGTAATGAACCATTTAGGAGCGACCCTGAGGAACGACCACTTGGTTGTATTTACAGGCACTGACAGAAACCAGATTTTTTTGGTTTTGTTCCGCTACTGAGCTGAACATTTACTGCTTAAAAGCTATCAATCACCTCAAAATAATCACAGCTACATTTTCTATAGCATAGAAGAGCCGTGGATGTAGAATCCATGCAAGAATCACTGAAAATACACCAGATGTATTGAAACGTACAGATAGACACAGAAAATCAGTAGATGCCTCTGCACACTTTGGCGTGCACAGTTATTTTTAAGTGTATTCAAAACCTTGGCAAGCCAGAACTGAAACTGCTCTCGTTTGCAGCCCCGACCGATGCACAGCACGCACAGCAGCCACGCACAGCTCAGAAGCTGCCTCGTGCTTCTGTTGAGGCAAAGAGGTGTTGTGCTGGGGCCTTGGAATCTCTATAACCACATCAATAGGAAAAGGCAAACAACACCAACGCCAAGGACCCGAATAAACACGGATTATCTTGTTCGCTGCAACCGCTTACAAACGACAGAGGCAGCCCTGAGTTATGCAGAAGTCGAGCGCCTTGCCCTGTTTCTATAACCGGGCCTCCTGTTGAATTGCCTGCTTCCTACCAGACCTGGGTGAGTCAAACAGGGCTCGGGGAGGTGCAGCCTTGGCAGGCAGTTCATCTCATTTGAGAAGTTTCAGTTCCTGGACAGGTTTTGTAAGAACAACGCCCTGAAGCAAGAGATTACGAGACAGCCTGGCTGCGTTTCATCCTGAGCCTCGGAAGCTTCAAGCAGAGCTGCCCGAGCTGTGCACCATAACACACACTGCTCCTCCAGTAGCAGAGGAAAAAAGCAGAAGCTGTCGTGGTGTGTTAAGCGGTAGAAAGAACACGCTCAGATATGCCTGACATCCCAGTTGCAGAGTCCAGTGCCATCCTTAGAACCACTTCCTCCTCGTCAGCAGCTTCCTGTGTGATTTCCTGCCTCGTTGTGTAAGGGCAGCACGAATGAAAGGATTCCTCGTTTACACAAAGCCATTTTCTTTCAACTCTCCTTACAAAATCCCTTTTAAAAGCAGTGTCCTAACAGGTTGGTTTCCTTCGGTTTGTTTGGTTGCTTTTAAGACTTACGTTAGTTCCATCTACAGTCAAAATCTTCTTCCTGACTTCTCTTTTGAGATACAGCTATGGTTAACACAGAAACGTAAAAACTCTCATTGCAAAAGATATTTTCTGAGAAAGAGTACAGCAGGGTTTCTACTGCATGCACACAAGCTAATTTTTCACTTAAATACTTAGGGATCTTAATAGCTACAAATGTCTTGGGCTTTATTTCCTAAAGAAATTAATTTCCTTTCCATCCCCATCCAAAATCCACTCTGAAGAGCAAATGTATTCCGAGTAATTTGCATGCACTGTGCACCATTCCTGCTATGGTGAGGATATCGCTCCCTCCCACAGCCACTAAAGCTGCTTACTCAGTGCTTAAGGCCAAACTCTAATAATGGTTTGATGGATCCTAAACTGAGGTAAGTTGGCATCTCCCAGCAGCTCCTGAAACTGAGCTTTGGCAGGAATATAACCTCCTTTGTACACAATTAGATTCTTTTAGTTTCACTTAAACTGCCACCCACCTTCCATTGTGTGCTATAAGCCTTCCAAACAGCCTGAACTTTCCTCTTTTTTATTAATATGTAAATTAAATCAGTTTACCTTCCTGCTAGTCATCTTCATCTGGGTACAAATGAATCTAAGGAGAACCCAGCTGAGGCAAAGGCAGGCTGCTTATCCTCCACCATATCCTCATGCTTTTTTCCACATCTTGTTGGCTTGTCTGCCCAGAGTCAAGCCAATTTACTCCACCTCTTTTGTTAAGAACCCTGTCAATGAACTAAACCCAACTGGTAGCACAGACAAAATGTAAGGCTTGTGAGGACCAAACACATTCGTTGCTCCTGACCAACAGTGCTTCCTGTGATAAGAATAGTTTCTGCTTACCACAAGCTGTCACGAACTTATGCACAAATTCCACTTTCTGAGAACTAAACCAGTTATGCCTCAGGCTGACCTTCATGTGAATCTTGGCAGGTTTGGTTCACACGGCTTGGCAAAAAACAATCTAGGCTCCTGGAGTTTGTCCACGGGTTTGCACTCATTCACCCCTGGCTTTCCAGCTCTGGCAGGCAGCTCACCACATTTCACCCACCATAGTTCTAATAAACCCATCGTTAGTGTAATTTCCACCTGCAGCCTTTAACCACCTTGCATTAATGCCGCAGAACAGAAGGTGGACTTCAGGTTTTATTGTAGAATACTGGTATGACTCCAAGGAACCTGTTTTGGTGGCAACAAGTTGAATTCAGCAGCAGTTTCTGTTTTACGCAGGTTGTTTTCAGAGGTTGTTGACATCATCCCGCCTGTCTGGGCTTCTCTGCTGTGATGACATCCTCACCATGAGACCCCCTTGCCTTTGTGGCTTTCTAAAATCATGGCTCTGGATAGCATACCTGATCCACAGGTACACAGCAGCAGCAAATGATGAACACTAGCTCTCCAAGTCCCAGTTTTAACAGTGGAGCTGATGCCTGCAATCCTCAGTTATCTGGTTACCCTTTGGGGCTTCAGTAAAACAAAGGCAGTGCTACTTAGGACCTTCCCAAGCCCCACAGGACTCAGATGGTTAGCATATGTGAAAGACTAGGATTTGTATGATGCTTTCTGAACAGCAGATGCATTTGGATTGCCCGGTGGCTTGTACCTTCTTCATTGCTTTCAGCCAACAGTAGTCAGCATATCACATGGCATATCTAGCATCTTTGCACTTCTTGTCTTATACTTGGCGAGGTCGTACAAGACTTCCATGGCTTTGACTCCTGCCCTCATGCAGCTGGGATGGCCACTGGCAACCTCAGTGCTTGAACCGAGCTGGAGCTGCAGTTCCAGGAATGTGGCCTGACCCAGTCCCCTGTGATGGAGCTGGGGCTGCTCCAGCTCCTCGGTGGAACTACACTGACTTGCAGTGACCATTGCCTGGCCGTCTCCTTCCTGCCTTTCATTTTGGTTTGTTCACAGACCGCAATGGAATCAAGGAGGGATGTCAGCCTCAAGATATGCTTGGCAAGCTGACATGGCCAGAGCTACTGAAAAAACACCATGACAGCCATCTCCCCACGGTCCCCAGATATTTAGAATCTTCCAGTTCTACTGAGCAGGTAAAATGATTCCCTATTGTGTTTGCGTTGCAGCTATTCTGCTTCCATCCCGAAATGCAGATGGCTTTTCTCAGAACTTGAAAATGTTGTTCTCTAATCAACTGAATTGAGCTTTGTATTTTGTGAAGTGGTGGGGGCTAAGTACAGTGTGTCTGTAATGACACATCTGTCTTCTAAGAAGCTGTATAGAGCAGAGCCAGAAGACCTTTGGGCTCATCTGAAAACACTGCATTCAAATGAAAACTGAACTAAAAATAGTAATTACTGGAAAACAAAGGGAACAACCTGACCCCACAGTTGGCAGACGTAGTACAACAGGAGCAATATGCAATTGTACGAATATTTCTAAGCCATACTTGAGAGCAGCTTCTAGAAGCTTCCAAGTAGAGATGTGTGCATAGCTCTGACAGGAGAGAAGGCCCAAACAGCCAGCCAGTTTAACACATTGCAGCTTATCTAGCTGCAAAAGCTTGCAAATGGACAAGAACTGAATCTTTTCCCCTACGAAGACTTGAACAAACAGCAAAGCTGTAAATAACCATGATGAGGTAAGGCTGGGTCAATTTAAGAAATAAAAGGCTTTTTTTTTTTTCCCTTTGTGTACAAATTTCTCCTCTGCTTTTCATGGGGGGGGGAGCATTCTCTAATGGTGTTTTACTGAGGGAAAGCATTCCAACAGTTACATAGACATTTGCACGTGGCTAACTTCTCTTGCCATATGTTTGATATGAAATTTGGAATGGAAGTTTGGACCACGATTTTATGGTCGTTTGTAACAGGTTTGAGCACCACTGGATCATTTAGCATGACAAATTCAATCCAGATCAGGCCTGGGCACACAATTATTTTTCAGCCAGACTGCATAATGTGGCATTTATGCTGGCCGTGGGAAGACAGACAATATCTAATCTGGCATAAAGCCTACCAATACAGAGCTAATGTCAGAACTTTCTTAAACAGCTTTCAATGGGATCAGCACTTCGGGTTGTGTGGTCAAGCATTTTATATCCAGGAGCCCTAGAGCCAGATTTCCTGCATTGTCAACCTGTGACCATTTTGGCAGCATTCAGACATTCTCCATCAAGCTTTCTCTTGTTATGCCTCCATGCAAGCCCTTTGTCCTGTTGGAGATTCTTGCTGCAGTCCATAAGAGCACTATAGGTATGAAGTATTTGGGATCTCTCTAAACACAACAGCCTCTCACTGTTGCTCCCCAGGTCCTGCAGAACTGTGTGTGCATCTGATTGCTCTTAAATCTGCAGATACAAATATCACAGTTGGTTGTTCAACTGGACCCATGGATGCATGCTGCTTGCACAGTTACCCTATCATTGCCCATGCAGCCGTAGGAACTGTCAGCATTGATCTCCCAGTCCATCTTTCTAATGATCATTAGAACAATGATTCCTGAAAGGAGCCATGCTTCTGCACGTCTCCATATTCCAGGAGTTGGGCTGGAAAAGACTGTGCTTGCTTTCATTCTCAGAGGGTGCTTTTCCTGAGAAAACCAAGAGCTCCAGGCTGTCAGTCACTGAGAAACCTTGAAGAATCTCCTCTCTGTGCTGTTCTACCTCCTGACACTTCACATCCAGTCACTTTTACCAAAGTAATCCTCCTAATTTACAACTGCAGGCTGGAGTTTCTCTTTGGGAGACACTCATTCTGGAAAAGTTGCTTATTTTAGAACCCACAGCCTCTAGGAAGATATTTTTCCCTAATCCCAAACTAAATGATATCATACTTGGCTAGTGCTGTAACCATGGTACTGAAGTTATTTATGACTGAAATTAATGCTATAGTTAGCAACACTGGGGCAGGGTTCCTTCTATGCTACTGTCCAACTGCTTCCCTCCCCCAGCCTGAGGCTACACTGCAAAGCAAGACACAGAGTCTCCAGAGGGTCTTTAATTTGCAGTAAACAATGTCAGCCTTTGCTGATTCCCAAAACTTGGCAACGCACAACTGGATGCGCACAAAGATGCATCTTCTAAACAAAACAAAGCACTTGGCTGTGTTGCCATTGCTCTTAACTCTGTTTCGAGATTTGTTTTTATTTATTTTAGCTCTTAAATTCCTTGAAGGGACCTGGAACTCCAGCGTGCAGAGCCAGGACTGGCAGCAGCAGGGAGAGCTCAGTTGTACGCCACTCATCAGCTCTGAGCTGAGGGAATCACCACGAGGGGAAGAGGAGGGGTCAGCATTTGTGCCTGGGGACACTGTTAGTCACCTCTGAGAAACTGATAGCCTGCCTGTATGCAAGCTATCTGGGAGCCAAACCAATATTATTCCAACCTCATCCCTCTGCAAAGATCTCAGAGAAGGTTGGGAGGAATCCAGCAAAGTGGGAAACAGAAGAAACAAAACCACGCAGTGCCGAGTCCCTCCTGGTCAAAGATCAGGCAGCTCCCTATTTCCACAGCACAGATGAGAGGGAGCAGCTCATAGACACATCCTGAACTTCAGTCAGACCCAGACACCTCTGTGCCCTTGTGGGGCATCGCACCAGCAGCAGCAGCTCCTGCATGCCTTCCTCTGATCGTCCCGCAAGTCAGAGAATCATAGAACAAGATTGCAAAACAGACACTGCAAACAGAAAAATAAAGGATGAAACAGGGAGGAGAAAAGAAAACAGAAGAGCACAGCAAGAAGAGAAGCAGCATGGGGAAGTGGTGGTGTGCTGTGCTGGGAAGAGTACAAGGATATCAGCCCACCTACTGATTCATACAGGGGGCAGTTCAAGTGAATTTAGACATCACAGGCAGTAAAGCAGGCAAGCCAGTCTCTGCTGACCACACCACTACCGTGGTTCCATTGGATGGAACATCGATTTCATGTCAGTTCTGCTACCTGGATTAACCTTTCAATGCCTTTCTTTGAATGCCAGTTGGCACAGCAGTCTAATTCTGCTCACCCCGGGAGTGAAGAACCAAATGCCTACCCCACGGTTTGGGGCTTTTGGGATAGACCGGCCTTAGGCCCAATCCAATTTACAGCTAAAGTCTCAAGGGCTTCACTGAAGTAGTCAAATCATTCTGGGAAAACGTACTGGGGGGCAATGCAGTATTTATTTTATGCCTCAGTCTCACTTTATTTTACAGCCTAAACCTCCAATTCCCAGAGCCACGATTCTCCCATTGCCTTCATGGAATTTACATTGGAGTCACTTAACAGGGCTTTGCTATGTCTAAATCATTGCCTTATTTTTTGCTCTATTTTTTTGTTTTGTTTTGTTTTTATTTTTTCTTCTTTTGACCACAGGCAAAGGAAATAAATCATCTGATATCCTGCCAGCAAACTGCCATCAGCACTCTGAGACTGGAGGCGTTTCTCCTGCCCCAAAAGAGCATTAAAAAAAAATATATCTAGCTGATAACTTGGACAGTGTTCAGGTATGTTTGTGTGCATACCAGCAGTTAAACTGATTTCTTCCACTATCTTATCTGTCCATTTCAAGAGGAAGAAGTTTGGCAGGCGAGCTACTCTTGGAACGCACTCAGTAAACCATGGACAGGAGAACCAAGGAGCGTAAATAGAAACAACCATAGGTGTAGCAGCTGGGAGCCTGACTTCTGGCTTCTATTCCCAGCTCTACCCATGACTCACTCGATGACTTTGGAAAGCCACTTTGCCTCTCCCTGCTCCAGCATTCTCCCAGGCACAGCTCACCCATTTCACAGGTACCCCAGGCAGAGGAACCCCACTGCTCCCAGCTGGGTAAGCGTCTCTGGAGGAAGAACCTCATCCCTCTTCCTCTGCCAGCCCCACACCATCCATCCCCACAACTCATGGCACCCAGAGGGAAAGTGGCAACTTGAACCAAGTGCATCTTGTGAAGCTTTTTGGGATCTGTCAAGGAAAGGAAAAGCACTTGAACAAACTGTTGCTAATTACAGCTTGACAGCACATAACACATTCCTGCTCTGGACAGAGCTCTGCTATCAGCCAACTCAATTATACATTATCTTTGCCCAACTCCCTCCTTATTAATTGTGACCAAAGCACTGAATAAAGCCAAATTGCTGCCTGCTCTCCATTTCTCCTTATTCAACACCAGTTCCTTGACAGCAACAGTGAGACTGCAAGGCTGCTATGCGGGGCTGCCTGCGCTCCCTGCCCCCAGCCTGCAGTAAATACGTCTCTCAACTTTTATTCCTGCCTGCCCAGAGCAGATCCCTGCATGCTAATGCTGGTTAAGCCGTGGCTGAAGCAGGATGGAGCTGTGCTGTCACCCCAGCAGACGCCCTGCCACAGTCCTTTGGAAAGCAGAGCCCCTTTTTTCCAAGTGCTCTGCAGCATCCTGCTGCAGTTGAAGCATGCAAGAGCCCAGATTTCTTCAAACCCTCTGGGTGTCATCCAGACTCCAAGGGACAGGGATTTAGCATTGGTAGCAAGCAGGAAAACTGCAGCAAAACCCGGTGCCCACACACACACATTCTTTGCACTGGGGGCAGCAGCAGCATGAAGGCATCCCAGATCAACCTGATTTCTATATAAAAACAGGAAACTGCCCCTCCCTCCACCAAAAGGGAGGAAGAGCTTCCTGGCCTGTATCTGTGTCACTGAGAAACGAGGCAGGAACAAACAGCTCACTCCTCCTTATCCTAGAGCGCATCTGAAAGAGCAGACACTTCAATGAATTCCTTCTAGGGGTGCTCCTAAATCTGTCCCCAGCACGGTTCCTGGAAAACAGCGAGATCTCTGCTCCCACAGGGCTCTGACAGATGGCCTCAGACTTCTCCTAACACCCACTTCCCACAGGAGCAGCAGATGGGAGCTGTGCTACAAGCCACAGGGCAGGGTTACCTCCTGATGTGCCCAGGGATGCAGGCATTTCACACTGGGCTGCTGCTCCAAATCCAGCTTGAGCTCATAGCAGCTGGCCCTCAGCACTGACAGTTGTTTGGTGCCCTGTAGGAGATGAGTACTTGCACAGGAGCCCAGCAGACAAAGCTGGGATTGATTCAAGATCTAGAAGAAGCAATCACCCTTTGCCTTCAGAAGCGGTGCTTCCCACGCTGCACTGAGCGTTTTAAGGCAGGTTCTTACATGTCACTTTAACTTATGTACTGCAGAGATGTCAGGTTGAATGTTAGGAAACATTTCTGCTCAGAAAGAGCAGTGGCACAGCTGCCCAGGGAGGTGGTGGGGGTCACTGTCCCTGGGGGTGTCCCAGAGCCATGGAGATGTGGCACTGAGGGATGTGGGCAGTGATGAGTTGGGGATCTTGGAGGACTTTCCCAACCTTAACAGTTCTGCATCAAGTTGTACCTACCTTATCCCACATCTATTACACATGGCATGAGCTGGGCCACGATGTCTTACTCAAGTAAACCATCTTATGGTTACGACTTATGTTTGATCTGGCATGCCATGCATGTATATCAGGCCATAATCAAAGCTTTCAGTATCACCTGATCTGATAGAAAAAGGGATTGTACAGCATTAAGCCAGAAAAAACACATACAAGAACTGTTGTTCTGCACATAAAAGCTGTCAGCTTAGCATACGTGAGAAACCTCAAGGTCATGAGCACTGCTTCCTGACAATGATTCCTGGACCTTGCTATGTCAAAACAGAAATACCAGAATGATACTTAGAGTCAGCAGCCATCGCTTGCTTTGCCTGCTGCTATGTAACAGGCAGGTCGTGCACACTTGTTTAGATGCATCTGCATAGGAATCCAAATTGCACATAAAGAGCTGCGACAGAAGTTGTGGTTTTGTTATTACTGCTCATGACAGAGACTACATGAGAAAAACACTTTCCAGCTCAGATGGAGGAAATGGAAAGCACAAAGGCTCCGTTCGCTGCTCAGCAGGGTGGATTTCTAATGAACTGCTTCTACCAAATAATTGAGAGATGAGGGAGCAGCGTGGAGAGGTGCTTTCCTCACAAGAATGAAAATCAGAATACCATTCTTGGGCTAGGTTACACAACCAGGAATATGTTTTAATCCTTCCCCCACTTGTGCTAAGTACTTTGCTTTCATTGTAAACACTTGACCTCTACTTCTCAAGCCTTCCCTTCAGTTACCTTCATCTAGTTCTTCCCCCTCCAAACAAAGAGCAGAGGCTTCCTGTCAGCTCTCCAACATACCTGCGCCAGCAGTTCCGTCCATCTGCAGACTTTCAGAGAGCACACAGAACCACCTTCATGTCCGCAGATGAAAGACTTGCAGAGCAGCTCCCAGCTCCTCCCGGATGGTAAAGCTGGTGAGCTCTCAGAGCAGAAGGGTGAGAGCAGCCTGGATGCGGCCCAGCTTTTCCCATCTTGTAGTCAAGGAAAGGCCATGGATGTGCCTTTCCTGATTTCAGCCAAAAGAGAAATCCATCCAGCTCCGTTTTGTCTTTGTGTTACACTTTGTGACTTGTTCCTGACACACTGCATTGCGACTGCTCGGCCATTGCTGCAACAGTGATGAGGGCTCGAGAGAAAGATCCTACATCCCTCAGAAGCTCAGATGGAAAACCACGGAGGTAATAAGGAGTGTCACCACTGCTACACCTGGCAGCACAATCCACAGCTAAATGAGCTGTAAACTGTAAAAAGACTTGTGCCCTGCTTCTGTCTCCTTCATCATTTCATTGCATGAACAGGGCTGTAGCGTGGTTAAATCCCCTGCATGGAAAGCAGCTCCTAGGCAGTTTGTTACACACAAGTATTTCCTTTGCTCTTGACTGTGTCAAGGAGCAGCAAGGGCCAGCTGCTTCCCAAAGGATCCAGGAGGCAAGAAGGGATGTCACCAGGCAGGATCCAGCCCCACAGTGGGACAGGGCAGTTCCAGGCATCACCACCATGTCCATCTAAGAGCCCTCAAGGTCACCAGGCAAGTTTGCAACGATGAGGCAGACCAGTAAAAGGCAAGCAATGAATCAGCCCTGGAGTCAGGATCAGGCCCAGCAGGTGCTGAGCAGCTCCAGAAAGTCCAGGTAGGGCTGAGGTCACAAAGCCAGCTTCCACATTGGGGTCAAGCTCAGCAGGGCCCATAGACAGGCAGAGCTGGGAGCAAACCAGCCTCAGCACTGCTGCAAAAAGAGCAGGGAGTTCTGTGCTCAGCTTAAATAGGGCTCCTGAGCCGACAGCAAAGGGTGTGGATGGAGGCCCCCAGGTGAGGCTGCTCATGGCTGTTAAGGAGCATTGGTGCCCCAAGCCCTGGCAGCTCGTAACACCCACAGCAGAGACAGTAATTTGCAGTGATTCCTTCCAAGATGAGGCTTCCACAGTGCCGAAGGCTTTGGGGCTGCAGCCCCAGTGCTGCTTTAAGCACTAGACCTCCTGGCTATGACTTCTGCTAAGCTGCTTCCCCTCTCCCCCCGTAGCTTGGCACTAAAAAGCAAACAAACAGCTCGGAGAGATGCAGGATTTGCAGCCTGGTTTTCAGCAGGCTGGCGTCTCATGGGGGACCGACCTGGGTGCCTGGGAGGGCACAAACTCCCAGGGAAGTTTTTCCCACGGTTTGGACATCAATCAGATGTCAGCACTGCACGGATTCTCTGGTGTCTAATAGGGGCTGGCAGCATGGGTCGGTGTTTCTCACAGCTGCAGCCCTGGCAGGGTCACTCTTTAGCCAACTGATTGCAAATGTAGGATCTGAGCTCCATACCTCTCTGCTGGTTTGGGCTAAAACTGGCCAAAGGGGTTAAAGAGTTTTTAAAGAGAGGAATTTGGAAGAATACGAATGCACTGATATACAGTGTGATTGCATAAACTCTGTTACATTAGGAAATCAAAACAGTCAGCCCCTTTTTTCCCCTCAACAGGATAGAATTTATAACTGCATTGTTCCCAGCGGTGCAAAAGCCCCCCCTTAAACTTTGCTCTGCGGAGAGCCACGCTGCAGGACCTCATGCGGTTGCTTTGCCTTCGAGCCTGAGTGCATGAGAGACAGTGGGATCCTCTCCTCCAACGTCTTTACAGAAAAGGGGAAGAAAATAGAGATATGAGCTGCCTCACAATGGCAGCAAGGATCATGGAGCCTGGATGGGTTGGTTCCTGTTATTGGGTTCATGCACTTTGGCTGCAGGGGCTCAGGTCCTGTTGATAACCCAGCCACAGGTCCCGCTTTGGGTCCCTCCACCCAAACTTCCCACTGCTGCCTGCAAAGCCGGGTAGGAGTGGCAGGAAGAGGCCTTTGGAATGCAAAACCTCTCTGAGCAGCCTCCACGCATCCTCTCCCAACACCTGCCAGCCTCTTGGGGTGTGCATCAGCTGGGAACTGCAGGAGGGAGTGACCCTCTGCTGTTCCAGCAAGGCTGGGATTGCAGAGTGCTTTGGAGCTGTGGTTTGAGCAACTGCTGACAGGATTTCACCATCAAATGCTGCGTTGCAAACCCACCGGGAGCCACGCTGTATCTCAGTCCTGACACGGGCTGACTCCTCTCAGCTATTCATCAAAAGAGGCTTCCTGCTCCCTAGCAGCCTGCTTGGAGTTCCTGGAGCTCTTCTTGCGGAGCAAAACAGGGTGTGCAGTGCTTTGTGCTTTCCCCATGCGATCCGAGCTGAGGATGCCTCGCTCACCCAGCACCGTCCTACGAGACCTCCATCAGCAGTGCCAAAAATCAGCAAATCTGAGCTCACTGAAGGCACCGCTCTCAGTCTGGGAGCACCCGCAGGGAGGGAGAGGAGCGAGACCTCATCGCAGCCTTACAGCACTTGAAAGGAGCTTAGAAAAAAAGATGCAGAGTGGCTTTTCACACATACTTCAATAGAGAAGGGACGAGGGGGGTGGCTTTAAGCGAAAAAGAAAGGAGATTCAGGTTGGGCACTCTTCGAAACTCATCGCTCGGAGGGCGGCGAGGCACGGCAACGCGGTGCCCCATCCCTGGGGCTGCGGACGGCTCTCAGGGCCGGGGGAGCCCGAGCTCAGCCGCCTCCTCCCGGGGAGCCGCTGCCGGCGGAGTCGGGCGGCACCTGCGGGTGGGTTCCGCAACTGCAACGCGACCCCGAGCCCCGCGGGGAGCGGAGCCGGGTGGCAGCGGGGCGGGTAGGAGGATTTTTTTCTCCGTCCGCCTTTTTTTTTTGTTTTT